ATTTGTTTTGATCACAACAACTAGAATGGACAGCATCCTGGACAGGAGAGGTTTAACAGGAAAATTTTTCATGACTGTTTGGATAGATATTCACATAGAGGTTGTGATAAAAATTTATTCGTGTGCTGTCATTTCCAGTGGGACTTTATGGCTATGAGTATTGTTTTCTACTAACAGAAGCGACGATGCTAATGTTGGTGAACCATCTGGGGAATTTTCGGTGGTCTTTAATTATGGCTACAAGTACCATTTTGACTAATGAAAGCGAGAATGTTGATGTTGGTGAACCATTTGGGGAATTTGCCGACAAAAAAAAAGGGTTGAGCTACTTGATGGATTCCCAGCTTTGGGTTCTGTCGGGAAGCTGATCAAGGAAGATCAAGATCAATCTTTGAAGCACGAACCTGCTTTAGATGACCAGCTAGCCATATCTGTTGGAAGAGGGACTATATATGAGATTGTGGTGGTTAACTATAATGCCAAGGACCTTTTCAACTCAAAACTCAATGTGGACTATTTTTGTGGGACGGATAGAGTAATTAAATTCCTTTTTTACCTAACCCGACAATATAAACTAAACAGTCAAGATGTCAACTTGGAAAATAGCAACAGAGACAAAGTGAACTTTCAAAAGAGTCAAATTCTCAATAGTCTTTCTTCTAAATCTACTTACAGGGAGATGCAACAAAATCCTTCCTTTCGGGTTCTTAAGTAGTACTCTCTGGACCACTAGAATTATGAAGATTGTGTATACAATCTTTGTTCGAGAGAACACTTGACTTATGAATCAACATCACTTCCTAAATATCTACTCTACCTAGAACTAAATGTAAACCCACCGGGAGTTGGAAAGTAATTGTACGGTTCCCAGCTGATATTTCAGAACCTTTTCACACGTGTGGGAACCGGCAAATTCTCCCACTTGTGAACCGTAGCCTAAATTTAAGTTTCCCGCCAAACTTCTTTCTTCATTCTATTGCCTGTTCCTTCTTCCCTCAAATTGATTTTACTCTCAGGGCGTGCAGTGCAGGAGGAGAAAATTGATGTTTCAGACCTGAATCGAAGGCGTTATAGGCAAGGCTTCCAATTTTATTTCCCTTTGAATCACATAGTGTTTGGCCTTCAACTGTTGCCAGGGTCAGGTTGTTAATCAATTGTATGAACCTGCTAATCTATTGCAAATAGTTTCCTTCCCTTCTATCTCAATTGGGTTTTACTACGAATTTTTGTAATTTGGTTCTAGATGATAGGTTTTCATAAGTTCTGCAACTTATAGTAGTTCATCTCAACAAGGTGTTTATTAGGCGGGGTTAATTGAAAAAAATAGTGCTTATGTATGGTTTGCACATCACGTGTTTGTTTTTATACGTAAGTGAGCTTTAATGAGAATTCTGAACTCAATTGGTTACCTTCATATTTCGTTTTTTTTTTTTTATGATTAGTTTAACCTTTTGATAGCCCAGGGAGGTATCACTTTTTAACTGTGTTGTTGGAAATAGATTTTCATTTGCAAAATCAACTATGGTAGCAAGTAGGAAGCATATTGTAGGTATCTATTTTGTTAGGCTGCCTTAGAACTTCATTTAGTTGACTAAGCAGAGAGATGCTTGTGTAGAAACATAATTCTCCCAAATTAGGACAGACTGAAAAGAAGTGCCTTCCTGCATCAACATGTGTCTTCAAGCAATAGGTGAAGATGAATTTCTAATGGAATTGGAGTTTGCACAAAAAGGTCTGGCATGGCAAGCTTCAATCATGAAATCTGCCATATCAGACAGTCAGTGTTATTGACCAAAGCTCGGTCGACCGCTTCTCCTTCTTTGGCCGTGCGATTGTATTTTATTTTTCTGGAAGAAAGATAAAGAAAAAAGAAAGTGCAAAAGAGAGATGTTGGAGACAGGCTTATGGCCGTATTATCAATGCCAATGCGCCGAACTAAAAAAAAACCGATAAAAGAAATTAAGATATGCCCCTAAATTACCGAATTGTCGTTGAGATTACCGTGTTTTCTTGTTCTTTGTTATGCAGTAAAAAGTAAAAGTAGTAAGACTCTTAAAATTCATGAAAATACACAGTAAGGCAAATCCAAACTGGATATCATCATACAAAATTATTATTAAGGTAATCAATTAAGGACACAATACTTTTATTTTCGTAGACTCGTTTTTTCTCGGTTGAAATTAAATGCACGAAAGTTGGGTAAAGATTAAGGCACTATAGTATATTTTCTTTTAAAAAACAAAAACAAAACAAAACAAAACAAAATAAAACAAGGTGTCCTATTAGCCTAATGCCTTAAAAGATATCCTAACATGACATGGGCTTTATAGTGCCTTAAAATTTTATCCGTGGAGTGTCATAACTAGGCAGCTTTCTAGTAGTTTGACCCATTTCAAAAACTTCAAAATAGAAAAATAAATGATTAATATTTATCATAATGGAAACAAATGTAACCACAAATATGAATCATTTTATAGAAATTCATTACAATCCAGCGTAATGATACAACTTCAAACATATATTACAAATGCATTTATTCATCGATGAAACATACAATCACTTATGTTTTCGAACATATATTACAAATACATTTATTCATTGACAAACAAAACCAACTTAATAATATACAATCACTTATGTCTTAATTATCAGCATAATCATTAGTGAAGTCAGAAGCATTTAAATGTGTTTCACCATATTCCTTTTCATAATGCTCATTAAGATTCATTTTCTTTTCCCATTCCTTTTGATGCTTAATAGAGCTCAACCAAATGTGGTGTCATATGGCAAACACGCGACCAATGATCTGTGCTACCACAACGGTAACATGCATTATCCATTTTCTATGGTTTTTCCTGAGCATGTTGTTTGGTCACTTTTGGCTTCTTGTGTTGTTGGTTCTGAATATTATTTCCATTAAAATGGACAGAATTCTGATTTTTTTCTTGGTCACGACCACGACCACGGCCTCGGCCACGACCTCGCCCACGGTTATTGTATGATTTGTGTCCATGAGTATTTATAGCATTTGCTTCTAGAAATGCCATTGAACTTGTGGGTCTAGACTAATGATTTTTCATGAGAAGCTCTTGAGCTTTTTCTTCCCACTGAAGTGCATACAACATATCACAATAAGTCTTATATTTTAGCAATCCGTGTGTAGCTGCCATAGTCATATTAGCAGCATGAAATGTGGATAAATTTTTATGTATCATTTCAGAATCGGCGAATTCGCATCCACAATATCTCAATTGTGAAACAATTTTAAACATTGTTGAATTATATTCGTCGACTTTTTTAAAGTCTTGAAATCTAAGTGCTCTCCATTCTTCATCAGCCATATTCAACAACATTTCTTTTCTGTTATCAAATCTCGCACTAAGTTCCTTCTAAATAATAAAAGGATCTGTGACATTTATATAAGTGGATTTCACACCGTCATCAATATGTTTGCGAATTCCAGATGGCTTTCCACATCTGTTTTCCATGACATGTAGTTTGTTCTTGTGTGTTTAAGAACTTCGAATTCGAGTTTTGACAAATTGGAAGACATTTTACAACTAAACAAAACACAAAAGAAACATAATTTTAGCTACTAAAAAGAATTTATTCAGTGAATATAACAATAAAATATAATGGTAAAATACATATTATAAGAACTCCTAAATGAAAAATATAATCATCGAATTCTTCTAGAAAAAATATCATAATAATATATATACTAACTATTATCATGCTAAAGAGATAAAGGAAACACATTTCTTTTTAGAAAATAAGAAGAGAAAGAAGGAGAATATTGTGAAGGTGTGTAAATGAGATTTAGAAATGATGTATTTATAGAGAAACTTTAAGATTTTGGCCGTTATATAGCCGTTAATATATCCGTTAAAAACAGTTGTTGTATACGTATTTTTATACGTAAAAGTATAATTATATTTATACATATATAATTGTTAAAATTTAAACAAATCAAGATAAAACAACTAAGTAATATTTGAATGAGGATATATATTTTTATCATACACTCAATTATATTGAAAATAAACAATTTGTTAGAGACAAAATATTGTAGTAAGTCAATCATCCCATCATAGATTAAATATAGCATATAGGGACATAGAAAAACATCCCACCGTGAAAATCTAAACAAAGATACGAAAATGAATGCATTAGTGATATATGAAGTCATCCCACAACAATCTAAACTATATAAATATTTACGTAGGGATGTATTAAAGCGTTCTACTACAAAAATAAAACTCAAGACTTGAGCAAGAACAAGTCTTTAAATAAATTGCAAGAAATTAAATGACTTGAATATAAATTAGGAGGTGTCATAAAACCATCCATATGAAATGTAAATGCTAGATAAGAAATTTTATACCTTTGTGGATTGCAGAGATGTCGTGCTGATATAACGTGTTATAAAACTAAAGTCTAAATATAATGATCCAACGCAAAGGTAACTAATTATTTAACTAGCAATGATTTATTTAACTTCTATACTAGAGATGTTATTATTAAAACTTTTTACTATTTTAAATGTTATAAAATATCTTATGAGATTTAAGAAGAAGGAGAAAAATTCACTTTATAAATGAAAGATATAAAAAAAGCAAGAGGGAGGGAGGAGTAAGTTTTTCGGTGCATTTTTCACTTTGGAAAGTCACATATATAAGAAAACTTTTGCAGACATTTGACCTCAATGTTTTTTACTTTTTTAAAAAAAGTTGGTTCATCAACGTATTCGCATTAGCTTTGCAAAGATTTCAATTCAGAATTTTTGTTTTTGTTTGCCATTTGTTTATTTTTCAGCAAAAAAGAAAAGAATGAAATTCCACGTGTTAAATTTCTACTGCCTCAAATGTAGCCTGATCCAACTTGTCAAAAACTCGGGAAATGATTGGCTGAAGGCATATCCAGAGACAGATAAGGTGATTCGTTCTACATCACAGAAAGGATACAACAAAAACCTGATAAAGATTTCTTCAATCAATGTCCAACTTTTAAACTTATAACACTCACCATTTTCCATTTTTTCTTCCCACCAATCAGTTAGGCCGAAGAGGAAAATTTCTCGAACAATTTTTCTGGAGGATTAATGGCTCAAGCTATGGCTTCTATGGCCGGATTACGTGGCACCTCTCAAGCTGTTCTGGAAGGAAGCCTTCAGCTCAGTGGTTCCGGCAGGTTGAGCACCTCCGGCACCGCCAGGATTGCCCTGCCCAGGACTGGATTCAGTGTCAGAGCTCAGCAAGGAGCCTGCGGTGATGCCTCCGAAACCAGCCGTCGTGCTATGCTAGGAGTTTTGGCTGCCGGGATTGCTTCCGGTTCCTTTGTTAAGGCTGTCCTGGCTGAAGGCGCTTCTTCCATCAAGATTGGACCACCACCACCACCTTCCGGCGGATTGCGTAAGTTCCTTGCCTTTTATTTGGTGAGAATTTCGATCAAAACAGTTAAATTAACTACATTCACAATGATAATTTTACAGGAATTCTATCTTTTCTTGTATGATGTTGTACTAACAGAGTGACAGACACATTTTATGAACTGTATAATATCTATCCGTCCCAATATAAGAGTCTTGTTTGTCATACATTTGATAGAAATCTTGTTTTGGGGCGGAAAGAGTACGATTTAAGAACATGGTCATTAGAACAGGTCGAATGGAGTATAATTATTTCAATCAGGCACCAGGTCTGAAATCATCTACCATTAGCAACTCCTGAAGGCCTGAATAAAAACTAAAAATTGAATAATTTGAACAGAGGATTGATCTTGATTTTTATCGATATCGATCCGCGGTTTAGACATTTTGACTGAAATAGCTGTTGATTTGTATGATGTGCTATGGCAGCTGGAACTTTGAACTCTGATGAGGCTAGAGACCTTGAACTACCACTGAAGGATCGGTTTTACCTTCAGCCTCTCACCCCTGAAGCTGCAGCAGTCAGAGCAAAGGAATCTGCTAAAGAAATCCTCAATGTGAAGGAATTCATTGACAAGAAGGCTTGGCCTTATGTCCAGAATGACCTTCGTCTAAGGGCCGAATACCTTCGCTATGATCTCAACACCGTTATTGCAGCTAAACCCAAAGACCAAAAGAAAGAACTCAAACTCCTCGCTACAAAGCTTTTCAATACCATTAGTGAGGTAGGTTGATCATGAATTTTCTGTTTCCAGTTATCAAGCTAGAAAGTGTTACAGAATGTCTTTTAAACCATGCCTCATTATTCTGTTTTCACGTTTCATTGAGCTAATTGACAATCTCTATATCATTATAACTTATCAGAATTGATATTGAGTTAGTGAAGTTGATGTTTTTGTGTGGTTTGTTTTCTATGATAACAGTTGGATCATGCTGCGAAGATTAAGAGCACCCCTGAAGCAGAGAAGTACTACTCAGCAACTGTATCTACCTTGAATGATGTTCTATCAAAGCTTGGTTAATTAATTAGGCAGAATTTTGTGCCCAATGTACCTACTTGTTGGTGTAAGTTTGTATTTGAGCAACAACATTCTGATGATACCTTTCAAATTGAAGTTGTCAATTAATGGGGTGTAGGTAATAAGAGTATGATTAAAACAAATGTTCGGTTGGACTTTAATTTTCCAGAAAAACATCCGCAAAGTGCACCACATTATCCACCGATTTATTCATAACTTGCTATAATAAAAGATGCCCCAACGTGTATAACATGAATCAATACATATGCAACAAAATAATAATTACAAAAGTTTAAGGAAATATAATCCCAAAATAGCTGAAAAATCCTGAAGTGTGGCCCCTGTAGATTGTTGTTTCATGCATTTACTTGACGCAATATCTGATTCCACAACCGAAACATGAAAACACTTTTGATATAAACGTACTACTATCTCCACATTTACTTGTTTCACTGCTGGATAAAAAAGTTGCATAGTTCCTCCGCAAAAAAAAAATTTCTTTTCATAATTAAATAGGATGGAGTATAAGCGTAGTTGTAACTTTCAAAGTGATTGCCCCGACTAATCCAGATTCGAGCCAGTTTTCGGGAGGCAAAACTTTCTCTACAAGTATTTTAATCACTGTTATATTTCGATGTCTGGGTACTATAATTAAACTGACCCAATAACTTTACCCTTTGAACGAACTAAGTATATGTTGACATATCAAAGAATATTCTAGATTTACAGTAAGAATTAAAATTCAATGATTTAGTATTTTCATAAATATTTGTATCGCTTCTGTTTTTCAGAGGTTGTCTAGTAAAACTGTAAAAGACGACAACACCTTATTTACCTATAAAAACAATCATACGTAACCATACGGATGATACCAAGAACCGTGTCGGTCCAAAGAATACCTTCTGCTTTGGTCTAACAAGGATCTTCCAAAACTGCAATTTCCTTGTTCCAGATTATCTCGTAGATTGAAGGGATTATAATAATGAGAGTCAGAGTTACCATATCGTAGCGAGGGCCTCCCCTTATCACTGCCCGGAGGAGGAGGTTCATCATCATCAAAACTCCTAGATATTGGAGGCCTCTGGTCTTGATAATAACCTCTGCTTCCAGAATCCAGAGTTTGATTGTATCTACAGGAGGAGTACTGATCTCTGTACAATTTAGATTCTACTGGCGAAGAATGTGAGACCTTGATCTGCAGGACCACTCTGTTTAGCTTCTAGCTGGAGATTGTAACTTTTAGCTTCGTTTAATCAATATAAAAATAAGCTTTTAACTCAATTATAAATCCTAGTGAATTAATTCAAAAGAAATAAACAAAACATAGCTCAAAAAATTTTCATTTTGATGGCTCACTAATATTTAGTTTCAGCTAGCTCATTTTAATTTGGAAACCAATATTATTCTCCTCTTTGCCAAAGTTAAGTGGAGTCTTCTACGTTCAATTCGTTTTACCACTAGAAAACGGTTAAGCTGCCTTAACTTAACCAACTCAGAAGAAAGGAAAACATGGTCCAAATTGCTCCAAGTTGTACTCCATTCCAGAACCTTTGTACTCCATTCCAGAACCTTGGGCCTTGTTTGACCAACATTTTGTTTTAGTTTTTGTTTTGGTTTTTTATTTGGGTTTGAAATGTGATTTAAAATGTGATTTGAGATAAAATTTTAAAAATTGTTTGGGTGATATTTTAAATAACTAATAATATTTTTAGACCACCACCGGACCACCTCCACCACCAGCGCCGCCGCCGGACATCCCGCTGTCGGGCCGCCCGCCGCCGCCGGCCGACCGGCAACAATCTGGTGGCTGCGGTAGGCGGTCCGGCGGCGGCGCTGGTGGTGGAGGTGGTTCGGTGGTGGTGGATGAAAATTGTGTAAAAATAATTTTTGGAATATTTTTTAAAAGGTAAATTAAAAAGTTATTTGGATAGTATTGAGATTTGTGTTTGGGAGGTGTTTTAAGAGGTAAAATGAGACAAAAATACAAAACGAGTGTTGGACAAACAAGCCCTTATTTCCTTCAACCGACTTAAAATACTTAAATAATAACAAGAAGTAATATCAGATTGTTCTAATCCTAGATTCTTCAATCCAACTCAATAATTAAATAACAAAAATAATAATAAAAGTCTGGTGCTAATCCTCAAATGTGCCCAGAACCTTTCACTTTCTCGCCTTTGCCCGATTTCGGCAATTGCCAAGGGGTCTCTCTTCCGCCTTGAATTTCCCCGACCAACATCAACACTGCCATCAGGTATCATCGCAAACATCCTCTTTCTCCTCTCTTCCCGTTTATCTAGCCGGCAACCTCTTCCTCTCTACCATTGGCTCATTGGCGTTTCTTCTTGTTAGTCGAAAGCCACCACCTTCGGTATCACGTCCCTTTCTCTATTAATTTCCTTGATTTAATTAAAGCCAACGGTTTCCCCGCAGTCGGATCGTCCGGAGACGAAAAGAGGAGACCAAGGAGAATCAAAGCTTGAGAAGAAAAGAGAAGCACAAAACTTGGAGCCTCCAAATAAGGGACCTACAAAATTGGTCCTCTAACCCTTCAAAACAGTAAGATAATCATACTCCCACTTGTGTTTTTAAGTGTTTATAAACAATAAGAAGCTGGATGTTAATTGAGTGGGATTATGTAGGCTGGCGGTTTATTAATTCATTCACACAATACTTATATGAATGTATAGGAAGCTCGTTTAGATATGCCGCCTCATTATTTACTGTATGGGGTTATGGTTAGGTTAATTATCAAAGTGGATTGAGGAGGGTGATAGAGTTGATAGGCATAGCTCATAGCTAGGTGAGTGTTCTCTCGGTTTTCTTAATAAGTGTGCCCCTGCTCTCTTTAAAAAGATGTTCTGGGTACTCTCTTTACAAATGTGTTCTTACTGTCTTTATCACATCAATCTTTGAATATCAATATGAACGCCTTCTTATGCTATTTGCTTTGCAAATGAACTGTTTGAAGCCTCACTGTGTTGTTTGAACTATAATTCGGAATCCAACCTTCACGGGAAGGTTACTTCCAGTTGTTTGAATGCCGTTGAAAACTTCTATGATTTCATAAATATTTCTTTCGTAAACAATTTAATGACTAATCACTGGTTGTCGTTAGCTTAAGATTTTTTCGATCTAAAATAGTTTTATTAAACAAGGTTGATGCTCTACGACGAGTTTTTTCTTGTCTACTATCACTGGCTGCTTTTAGTTTTGAACTCCCCCTGGCTCTTTATAAGAAATGACTTGATCTAAATTCTTTGACCTGAAATATTTGGGCTATTGCATTCTCTGTTTTCCTGAGTGAACATTTCCGCGATGAGCTTGCTTTGTTTCGACTTTCTATTTATCGATGACTTGATATCAAACTGTCAACCTACTCTTCGGTTTTCACTCCATGAGGTTGGCTTTCAAAACTTCCTTAGCTTTTCAAATATTTTTCTAGTAAACCACTTCGTGCCAAACGGTTGATTTTCTTCACTTTTAGCCATTGTTTGAACTAAAAATTTTACTGGAAAAATTATTCTTTGTATAAACAATTCTCAGAAGCATTTTCTTCATTTGTAATTTATTTACCAAATAACTCTCTTTAACTGTTCTTTTTAATTGAGGTTTCTTCTCCACAAATATCCTTTATCTTTTTATTAATTTTAGATATCCTTATACCATGCTTGTTGTCAATGTTCTTCTGCGTCATTGGCACTATAAACTTTACTGGCTTGTTTGACCAAACTCATGTGGACTGACTTGATATCGTTATTTTATCGTGTACTGTCCTGATCGTTAAGCCCGTGCACATGGTTTCTTTATCACTCAGCCTTTTTGGAACTATGTTTCCAAAACATGAACCCGGCTGAGGTCTCTCTTGGTTCTTCCCCGAGTTTCCGGAACCTGAACCAGTCTATGTGCTTTCCGGAATTAGTTTCGCTCGGAGGTTGAATCCCTGAGTCCTTGTGATTTACCTCAAATTTACGGAACCTGAACCGGCCTATGAGCTAATTAGCACCGCTCGATGGCTAAATCTCTATGTTACTGAATGTTCGTGAAACGTGTTCTTGAATTGTTGCTTGAGATATGGTCAAACATTTCTTAGATTATGATTTTAAACTTGTCCAGTGATCTATTATTGTTTTGAGTTAATTGGGGTCAACTGAATATCTTGGTCACTGGATTGGATTCACTGTCTAAAACTTGTTTTACATGCTTCTTGTATTTTCAGTAGTGTAGAGGCCGAGCTGTTTTACTTCATTACTGATCCTGCTCTTTTTTGTTTATAAACTATCAATTTATTAAAAGAAAACTTTTCCTAAATTGAGGGCACTTACGGGCTATAAAACATATAGCTCACCCGTATTATTTTTATCGATTTTTTTTTACAGGAATAGAAACCAGGGAGTACGTGACATTTGTATTGTGGATTTAGTTGGACCTCGAGCTATGATGATTTAGTATAGTATTCTAGTTCTTTTGATTGAGGACGAGACTTGTACTAGTTCAAGAACTCTTTTGTTGTAAATTATGAGACTGAGTAAATTATGTTTGGAATTTTATAGTTCAAAATTCTGAATTTATTATAAAGAATTTAGTGATTACTGCTTGAGTTCTGGCGCGAGCTAGGCAGGCGATTCAATCCGACTCTCGTGGCTATGTTTTTTGGTAGGTGTCGGGTTGGGTTGTCACAAAGAATCCCAAAGCTTTTTATCTGCTTTTTCTTGGATTGGTGCATTCACCCCGGGAAATTCTACGGTCATTCTTTTATCTGGCTTAGCAATGCCCTTCTCAAGAATTTCTCCTTCCTCACCATCTTCCATGTTTTCATCAGCCCCTAAAATTGTAATCCCTGATGGTTGATCGTCTTCGCCATGTTCAGCTAAATAGGCTGGTGTATACCGTATTTGTCGCATTTTGTTAAGCCATGGAGGTGAATCTAGCTCCTCAAGTCCTAACAGCTTGGGAATTTCAGGATTGAGGGAGCCTGGTTTAAGTCCGTCATACTTCTTCCCACCAGGAGTATTTTGGTGGTATCGGGTTGGATTCCGAGAGCTAGCATTCTGATTACGTCTAGAAATGTGTTGCTTTCAAGCTTTATTGACAGCGGCGTTATCGCGTGGCTTGGGGCATTTCTTCGGTGAATGGCTGTACGAACCGCAATTGAAACAACGGGACCCTTCCTCTGTTACCAGCATACCCTGAAGATTTGAATCATCCTTGGAAGAAGTTAATGCTGACGAGAATTCGCGATTGTAAAGAGGAACAGATTTTTCATCAATTAGGAATGGAATCTTCTTGGGCTTGCTTATCGTCGTCTCCCTTGTATTGGTTTCCATCCAATATGGAACTGCAGAAGACTTATCAGGACCAACTAGAATAGCAGGAAAGTAAGTATTTTTACCAGATACCGATACTCTGTCTAATTCAGTTGATGAAGTTGAAGGCTGATGAGCATTCCACTGTGACCATTCCTGTAATAGCTCGAGCTTCCTCCTACTCTCTCTTGTTAAAGACTTAAATTTAACGTTTACGCATGGTTGGTTCTCCTTATCATCTCTATCTATATTACGAGGATAGAGATTATGAATTAACCTTTTTTACATGATCCTACTCCACCTGTAAATCAAATTTCAAATCGTATTTTACTTTGGTTTAATATATCTAAAAAAAAATCACACCATAGCAGATTTTAGATCGTGGGTGAGTATGTCCAGATTATAAGTAATTAATGTTGTAACAGCGGGAACAAACACACGAACTTCGATCCATATCTCAAAACTTTAATACTCCTACCTCTTTCGATCCATTTTTTTAAAGTCATTTTTGTATAATCGAAATAATACAACAAAGTGTACTACAAAAGACTGAGGGAAAGAGTAGCTTGTTTCTCAGAGACAATCACTATTTTGTGAAAAATGTAACAAACTAAAGATTTGGAGCTTAACTAATTAAAAGTACTTACATAAACTTTTGACTCAAAAATACTTCTTGATAGAGAGACCTATTGGCTGCAGGCCCCATTTCTCCCCGTTTCCTTGCTGGATAACTCGCACACAACTTCTCTCTATCTTCACTTGTTTTTCAGCAGAAAGAATCAAAAAGCTTGGGGACCTGTGTAGGTCGTGGTTTTCATGCTTCACTTGACTCGATCTCTTCTCAAATCTCAATCAACAACCAAAACATAGAAACAGTTTTTTCCGTTTAGACCTTTTGCTTTCTCCATCTCTACTTGTTTCGGAGCTGGCCAATTGGCACGGCTCCTCCGCAAAATTTCTCCTCTTTTCACAATTGAATAGCGTGGGTGTATACGAATACTTAAAACTTTTTCCAGGAGATGATTCAATATCGTCGATAAGTTCGCATTTGCAGTTAACATTGTAATGAAGATAACAACCATCGGGTCTTCTAAACGACAACCAACCAGAACCATCACTGATGCATACAGCAAGGGAAAGAGTATCTGACGAGGTACCAGCATGACAGTTCCCAAACCATTCCAAAGGAAGTTTTACCTTCATTTCAGACCATATTTCCTTCTTGTAATCTTCCAGTATCCACAGTTGCACGTCCTGTTCCACCATACGAGCCAAAGCCAAGCTGTCTTTTCCCCAACAAATTGGAGTTTGAAATCCCAAATTCATGAGCAAACCCTGCGGGATTTTGACATGTACGAAATGCTCAGGTTCCACTTCCAAGCAAACTATTTTAGTTTCAGAGACGATGAAGCATAAGTTACACCGCGGTAAGGAAATAAGGATCTTCCCAGATTCTGAAAAGCTACCAATGTGCCTCCAGGCAAAGTCGGTCCCTATTCTTAGTACCTTGCACCTCACATTCTTAGAAGTTTCTTCTTTTTTAGTTATGCAAACCAACTTATAATCCTCGGTTTCCGGGAGATAAAACATCATCATGGAAACGAGATATCCTGGCCGCGGGCAGGGAACATCTCGCATGTACTTGGTTTTAGGATTCCTGATACGGTACTTTCCGGTGGAAACAATTCTTTCCAGGAGCAGACCACTCATGTTAGCGAATGTGATGGAGTCTTCTTCTCCTTCATATTCTTTGTAGACATATTCCACCTCAGATCGCTGGTTGTGCAACTCTGCGAACTCTCGGGACGCAATAATGTTATACCACCGCTTGCACACACATTTGAATCTTGATATAGACTCCACGGGCAATCTGCTTAAGATTTCAGTTTGGATTTCAGTTGGAAGATACCTCTTAACCTCTTCTTCGTCTTCCTGGTGAAGATCATGATTGTGATTGCGATTTTTGATATCAGAGGAGCTCATTTTCCAACAGTTAGGCATGTTTAATTTTGATAGATTGAATCGTACGTATTATCTGTGCAGCAGGAGAGAAGCTAAGTGCCCAACAAAATCCCTCACTTTTGCTTAAATTATGAAGGTATATTTGGGTCCTTAATATACTGACAAAGGTGATATCTACATTAAAAAATTAAAAAAAAAAAAAGATTTCTTTGAAGAAGTGCTCTACTGTAGATTCATATCAAAAGGAAAAATACAACTGAAACTTGCAATCAAGAATACATAGGCACAACCTAAAAAATAAACTCTGTTTGTCCCACAAAATAGCACCCATGGTAAAAACAATACAATTTAAAATTATAATATGCACTAGTTCTTTTGGGACGAAGAGGGTACAATTTACTATGATCGAATAACAAGAGAAACACAGAGAAATCAAACAAGAGTATATTAAGCCCAGAAGGGCAGAAAACGAAGTCAAACAAACCTGGAGGGTTTGGCTGTTGGGGACACTGGAGGCGTACATGCTAAGCTGAATCCTCAAAGCCAAACACAAACATGATCTTCATCGCCTAAGAAGCCTTTCATTACTGAATTTGTAGAGATGGAGATGAAAAAGAACTCTTTTGAATCAGTTATTGGAATTTACGTCCTATTCCACCTCAAACATCCGATTCACTAGCAACAAACAATAAAATTCCATCCAAATACTATTTTACTTAACAATTTATTTGCTAGTCTTGTTTTCTGCTTCATTTTTGTGGTCGGGGGAATTTTCTTGTAAACAGCATCTCGGGCAATCTAAACAGAATTGGAATTTGATTCATTTCAGCAGCCCTAGTTTTTTTTTTTTTTTAAGTTTTATTTTGAAATTATCAATTTATACATAGTGATTTTGTGTGAAATTATTGTTTTATCATTTATCTTCGTTTTTTTTTTTTTGGTACCATAGTTTTGGTTACAAGGTGGACATTAGAAACCTATTACATTTATAAAAGATATATTATTATTATTATTATTGTATAGAATATTATACTTTCAAAAAAAAAGTTCTAAGAACACAGTAAAAATAAAAATAAAAACCTTTTTTATTCTTTCCGAATTCTAAATTACTTTGGTTTTTATTCTCTACACAAAAACATTTATTTTTCTTAATAAATACGGTAGGAAGATCGAATATTAATTCGTAATTGTATTGGCCTAATTTTGCAGTTCTACACATATATTAATTCCTAATTGAACAAACCCTAAAATTGCAGACATGTTCATCGAAAGATTGAAAGCAATCATGGGGAACAGAGAGTTTCCTGATAAATCAGATCGTGGAACTTAAACTCACGACAAGGAGTTTGCAACGCCAAGCCCAGAAGTGCGATAAGGACCAGAAATCCGAGAAATTGAAGGTTAAGAAAGCTATGGAGAAAGGAAACATGGACGGAGCCAGAATATACGCCGAGAATGCCATAAGGAAGCAAAGCGAGCAGATGAATTACCTCCGGCTGGCTTCCCGGCTCGACGCCGTCATCGCCCGGCTCGACGCCCAAGCCAAGATGAACTCCATCCATACCAAAATCCGCTATCTTGGGATTCATATTTTGATCTAGCAGTCGCTATATGTAGATCTTAGAAATATTTATATTTGAAAAAAAATAAAATTTTGTATTTGTAGCGATATATTTTAAAAATGTAGATCTTAGAAATATTTATATTTGAAAAAAATAAAATTTTGTATTTGTAGCGATATATTTTAGAAATATTTGAAGGATTTAGAAATGTTTTATAAGTGTGATCATAGAAATATTTATATTTCACACAAAAAAAAAAAGAAATTATATTTTGCCATGTATATTTTAAAAATATTTTATAAGTGTTACTTATTAAATATAAATAGCCTTAATCAAATAAATGTGTTGAAGTAAATGTTAAATAAAATATAAAAGCATCCTAATAAATTTAAATATTAGTAAGATGATTTATTGATGTTCTCCATTGGTCGTGCCAAATCAATACTTAGTTTTGGAGATTTTTAATAGTTTTGTAATAAGTTTCATCCGAAGGGTATACGCTTAAAACAAAGTTGACACTTTGTAACAAAAACCTAATTGATCAATTCAATTTAAAAAAAATGTGTCACGTAAAGTGGAAAGGGAAATTTAGTAATTTACAAAAACCTAATTGATCAATTCAATTTAAAAAAAATGTGTCACGTAAAGTGGAAAGGGAAATTTAGTAATTTAGTTATGGTTAGACAAAAGGGCAATTTAGTACTTTCTACATGTCACGTGACAATCATATGAGGCATTTGAAAGGGAGATTTTTACTTCTAATATAGTAGGATGTTACTTGTTTTAAGATCACGGTGTATTATCTTAAGACGAGAATCTTCGTGAAGATAAAGAATCCCTCGAGCTATTCCTTTAATTATCTTGTATCTGGTTGACCAATCCAACATCTTTTGTCTTTCAGGATCTACTCAAACATCCAGCGAGCACATATATCCGATTAATTCCAGGAAAAATCTCAGGTTGATTTAAAAAAAAAAAAAACATACTTTTAAGTTTTAAACAATAATCGTAATTAAACAGAAAAATTAAGAAATAAGAAAAGGTAATTAAATCATCCAACCATTTCTTAATAATGCAGGGACATGATTCATCTTGGGTTCTTATGATTATCATAAACAAAACACACACAAAAAAAAAAAAACAAAAACAAACAAACAAACAGACAAACAAAGAAGTAAAGAGTGTTAGAAGCTAACCAAAGAGATAGTAGTTGAGGCTTCTGTTTGAAACAAATTCGTAGATGAGGAGCATTTCTTTTCCTTCCAAGCAATATCCCAGTAATCGAACTAGATTCTTGTGCTGAAGCTTAGAAAGTAAGTCAATTTCAGTTTTAAATTGTTCTGGACCTTGACTTGAGCTTCTTGATAGCCTTTTCACGGCTAACACTTGTCCGTCAGGACTCGTGCCCTGAGTACATATTTTACAGGTTATAGTTTCCATTTATATTTTTTTCAATAAATACAAGTTTTTAAAATTTACGCAATCGATGGACTTACCTTGTTGACAGGACCATATCCACCTTGGCCAATTTGGTTTTCAATGGCGAAGTTGGATGTCGCAACTTGAATCTCTTTGAAATCGTACTGCAAATTGACCTTGTCTGGGAGTTTAATTATGTTTGTACCTTTAATTTTACAGCAGAAATTTTAGATGCATACTGAGTGTTTTGAATCGATCCATCAATTTTTCCAAAAGTTTTTTAAATACTCCTTTCGTCCCGAAATTATTGTCGAGTTCAAATTTTTATTTTTAGTTCAATTTATACTAAAACTGAAAAACCAAACTAGACAATAATTTTGAGACGGAGGAGTACTAACAAAATTTACACCGTACCAGCGACTTCAACCAGGGGTAGGGGATGGTATCCTTTCTTTGGGCCCCTTCCTAAACGAGTCGCCCCGAGAGACAATAAAATGACCACCCAGATCACAACTACAATGGGTATTTTGCGATCATCATTTCCAGCTCTGCAGCCTGAGGAAGTTTCGAAACATGGATACAACTCATACTGAATATAACAGCTTGGGAAAATGATTCTCGCACCCTGGCTGTTTTTGCAGCAATCTGGAAGTCTATGAACAGCACTTCTAAGGCAACTTTCACAATCCCTGATAGAAAGATCAGGAGTACACTGCCCAAGTGCATACACTTTCCTCTTAGAAAATGCGGAGAAAATAGCTTCCTCGGCAGCAAATTTCCTCCCTGACCGATCTTTTGCAGCCTGAATCGCAATCTTATCAAAAGTATCCCCCAATACCTGGTTGAACATGGCCGCGTGATTATCACCCAGACCCTGACCATTAAAAATAACCCATGCAAAGCTCGTATCCACCCTGGACAAAATGGATTGATCCGAATAGCGCAACAAACATTCATCGTACCAGATTATTGCATTCTTTCGAACTGGGCACCTTCGCATGATTTCACTGCTGGCCTCTTGGACACAATTTTTGCAACTTTCACAACTAATATCTCCCCGGCATAGAAACAGACCGTGAACAGCTTCACCAGGGATGTTGCCCGTAGTCAAATGGTGGAAATTACCATTAGTAATGGTAGAAGCAAATGAAGTTAAATTTGAAAGGAGGTAAATCCCTTCGGTGGAAGTGTAGTGTTAGATGTCGTCGGGCAGAGTTCTCCAATTAACGCGGAGTTGCCGATTCTTGTCAAGAGAATCAAGCAAAATATGAAATACAAATTTCCAACGACGATCAGAATCATGTTGAAGTACTTAAGCAGAAATTTTCTTCCTGTTTTCTAGCTAATTTCTGCCGTTCTGCTTCTTGGTGGCAAAGATGCTTAGTTAATTTGGCTTGTAACTTATTGTTACACTATTTAACCCATTAAAAAATGAACATTGTTATACGGATTATGATAATCACAATAATAAAGGTTACATAGTTACTGATGATAATAACGAGGGAGCCGAGGTTATCTCGAAGCCGGCGACGCTCATAGAGATATACCTTTGTAAATTTTAGTTTCAAGACAGGATATTTACGTTTGATCAAAGTCACGTCTCATTAGATTTGATTGATTGCCTGAAGATTCCCCACCCAAAAAAATATAAAAAAGGAAAAAGAAAAAAGAAGAGTGATGATAGGCAGCTCGAAAGTATTACTCGAACTCCCAACGCGAAGGACGTGGCTTCCAAATTATACGGTCCATGTCAACATTTTATTTAATTTTTTTTTAATTGAATAAACAAACTCTTTAAAAAAAAAATCTTAATCGATTAAAAGTTGTGATTCTTCAAAATCCCATCGTCTCCTCTATGTAAAACCAATCGTCGATCTAAAACTCTGTCAAATCTATCAGTCTAAAGTCCAAACCCCATTGACCTCATGTCTCGTTTAATTGAAGCCTGCAATTTTCATCTTCTTCTCAATTCCTCACTCTCAAGTATCAAATCAAAGGATGCGTATCTACAGACAAATGAGGATTTTCATACTCCGAATT